ACATACATACAATACATACATACATTACACACACCACATACACACACACACACACATACACACATACACACATAACACAACAGACAGAAGACAGACAGACAGACAGACAGACAGACAGACAGACAGACAGACAGACAGAAAGACAGACACAGACACACACACACACACACACACACACCACATACACACATACAACACATACACACATACACACATTCACACATACAAACATTTACATCATACAGACATACATACATACGTACGTACGTACGTACGTACGTACGTACGTACGTACGTACGTACGTACGTACATACATACATACATACATACATACATACATACATACATACATACATAACATACATACATCCATACATGCATGCATCGCATGCATGCATGCATGCAGCACATGCATGCATGCATGCATGCATGCATGGCATGACCGCATGCATGCATGCATGCATGCCATGCATGCATGCATGAATGCATGCATGCATGCATGCATGCATGCATGCATGCATGCATGCATGGCATACATACATACATACATACATACATTACATACATACATAATACATACATACATACATACATACATACATACATACATACATACATACATACATACATACATACATACATACATACATACATACATACATACATACATACATACATACATACATACATACATACATACATACATACATACATTACATACATACATACATACATACATACATACATACATTACATACATACATTACATACATACAGACATACATTTACATACATACATACATACATACATACATAACATACATACATACATACATACATACATACAATTACATACATACATACATACATACATACATACATACATACATACATACATACATACAATACATACATACATACATAATACCATACATACATACATACATACATTCTATACATACACACACACACACACACACACACACACACACACACACAGACACACAGACAGACAGACAGACAGGACAGACAGACAGACACACACACACACACACACACACACACACACACACACACACACACACACAACACACACACACACACACACACACACACACACATACATACATACATACATAACATACATACATACATACATACATACATACATACAATACATAAGCATACATACATACATACATACATACATACATACATACATACATACATACATACATACATACATACATACATACATACATACATACATACATACATACATACATACATACATACAATTACTGTATTATTGGACATAGCTGGTTTGCCATTCAATTTGAATGTCGTTACCTGCGTCATGAACTCTGTAAACAAAACAACATCATTCTGACACTGCGGCAGCTCTGGCAGAAAAGGCACTTGCGTTTATTTTAGTAAGCGTCTGGCGTGATACAGCCAAACATGGCAATCAATAAATTGGCGTGACACTGTGAGCTGCGTTTATTTTTCGTTGGCACAGGAGCGAAGCAACTGTGGGGTGATCCGTTTGCTATGAAGCTGAAACTAGGATTACCAGATTACCAGTCAATAAATTGTCACCGTTTTTGTTTTTGCCTTCTTTGTTTAAAATAAAATGTTTATCCTAGGTCAGCCATGTTTTATCCAAACGTGTCATCTATCTCCTGTGTCTAATGTTCAGATACGCTATGGATACATCTGACAGATTATCTTATACATAAGTAATTCTGTGCATTCTTGTACGTGGGTCACTGTTCGTTTGTTCTGCATGCTGATGAAGGGTTTTTAGCCGTAACTTTTTTGTGTCATTCTTTATTGTTTGATTGTGAAGCTGACTGGTTCTACCTATTGTTTGGCTGTATATTTGTCATGTATCTAAATGTCTGCAGATTTCATTTAGACTTGCTCCCCATAAGAAGTCCATTAGTTAGGTGACGTTCAACCACAACAGGACAGAACAGCGAACGACAAACACCCGGTGACACAAAGTGCCACCGTCCAGACGAGAATCTTCTTGCCTTGCAACACATGTAGTCCACCGATCCACAAGACTATTGATGCCTGGAGCCGCGTTAGCGCAGTCGATATGAGACTCTTTCGAATCCAGTTGCAACTCGCTGCAGCATACAGCCGGTGTTCGAAACCAGGCGGTTCCCGGGATTTACCCAGCCTCTAGGAAATGGGTACCAGAGTTAACACTCTGGGGTAAATGGAGGAACGTCGCTGTGGTTACAGTGTTGCGTGCGGACGGAAACACAGGGGGACAGTTTCTTGTCAGCTGACCGTACTGGTGACAGAGCTCTTATGGTTTATAACCGTGCGCAATGACGCTCGTTCACATCTCCCGACTTTACCTTGTTGATGCCTGTCTGGCAGAAGCTTCTGGGTGTTGGCAGAAACCAAGTCTGCACCACCGACATCATTTCATCGCCATCTGCAAATCTCTGACCCCGCAAATATTGTTCCAATGGGCCAGACAAATGAAAGTCCAATGGTGCCAAGTCTGGACTGTATGCTGGATATCTGATTACTTCAAACCGCAGAGACTGTAGTGTATCCACTGTATGTGCAGCCGACAATGATGTGATATCGGTGGTGAAAACTTGGTTACTAGCCACACCCACAAGTTTCATAGATCGGTGGACTGCAAGCAGACTGTCACATGACCAGCCAAAACACCCCTCGGCGTTAAGGTCTTCCCCATCCTGTACACCCCTATGTGAATTACCCGTATTCAATCCCTTTCTTCTATAAGTAAATAGTCATTCTTTGATAAATATAGGTCAAGATGTGGGTAAAGAAACTTAGTTCAATCCTAGATCTATTGGGAGTGAGTTATATTATGAATTCACTCACAGGTAGGCTGGGCCGATCTTTCTTGAGCATCTATCTGTCTCTGTTGCTTCCAAAGCTTTTCTAAGGTCTGATCGCCCTCAATTTCTTTAATAAAAATACTAGACAGTTGAAACTAGATTATTATGGTATGGGCAGAATGATGCACCAGGGTGTGACTATCTCAGAGGAAAGGCCTTTTTCCACGCCTTTAGGCGTATAGGGCAAATAGGGCTAGACCTATATTTTTATAGACCAATGATGAGTGATGTGGTCAACATCACGCTGGCCGCCTCTACTTCCCGGGACTGCACCCGGTACCCACTCAAGGCTGGGTCGACCTGAGAGCCAAGGTCATTTTTTTTAAAAGTCCGGCTTCGCCGGGAAGCAAACTCACGACCTTCCGATCCGTGGCAAGCGTCTAGACGCTTCGCCACGGGGACTTCCAACTAGACACACAACTAGACTACGACCGGCACCATTAGTATTGGAACTCTGCGCTGGCTGTTGAGGATAGGGACGGAGCACGCATGAGAATGCCCCAAATGCGGTGATGTCAATTCTGGGCTCAATTCACTTTAGAGATAGATTATTTCTAAGAGTAGGGAAGCCTTTTTCCATAGGCCGATCTACCGCCTGTTTCACATAAGGAATCATTCCCCACTTGAGAGACGTTTGAATCGTTGGCGTCATTCTAGACCCAACTTCCAGAGCATACAGACGGAAAAACGCCTTTTCTGTTAACTCTGTCAGTATCTATTTTGAAAGCCTCCGTTTCACAGGGAAATTTCAGTAGAGCATGGGTAAGTTGTACTTTAAAATTACTTGAATTTTGGCTGAGTTATTTTTCCCTGCTACTATGCGGTTGATCGCGGATTATGGAGAGGCATGATCGCCCACGCCAGTCGGCAAGGCACCTGATGATGATGATGATGACGATATGCGGTTATTTTGACTATGATGGTGATCCTATCTAGTCTGGGGGCAAACAAGTGGTGAGGAAGTCTGGTTAAGTTGTGCCCAGGAATAGTACGAATGAAGTGGAGCCTATAATTTCAGCTGCCTCATCCCTGAAGTGATGTTAGATGGTTACTGCAGTTACGGAGTACCGTCTAGTACCGCCATCTCAACATAAGGTCATTTCAGAGGGTCTATTATTATCAGGGAAAGCCTCATACAGACAGAAAACACTATTGTCTGGTGACAGAGACTGTGTCAAGAAATAGGTCACAGGACAATATTGTTCTAGCCGTTTGTAAAAAAAAAAAAAAACCATGTGAATGCGATTGCTTTTACTTAATGCCATCCACTCGTATTTATTGATATTCTTAGAAATCAGCTAGGTTATAAATTTTCAGTGTGTGCCACCAAGCAGATCCCAGCGTATGGCATTTTAAAGGTGCAGATCCCAGCGTATAGCATGTTTAAATGTGAAGATCCCAGTGTATGGCATGTTTAAATGTGCAGATCCCTGCGTATTAAATGTTTAAAGGCGCAGATCCCAGCGTATGGCTTGTTTAAAGGTGCAGATCCCAGCGTATTGAATGTTTAAAGGTGCAGATCCCAGCGTATTGAATGTTTAAAGGCGCAGATCCCAGCGTATTGAATGTTTAAAGGTGCAGATCCCAGCGTATTGAATGTTTAAAGGTGCAGATCCCAGCGTATTGAATGTTTAAAGGCGCAGATCCCAGCGTATTGAATGTTTAAAGGCGCAGATCCCAGCGTATTGAATGTTTAAAGGCGCAGATCCCAGCGTATTGAATGTTTAAAGGTGCAGATCCAGCGTGTGGAATGTTTAAAGGCGCAGATACCAGCGTGTGGAATGTTTAAAGGTGCAGATCCCAGCGTGTGGAATGTTTAAAGGTGCAGATCCCAGCGTGTGGAATGTTTAAAGGTGCAGATCTCAGCGTGTGGAATGTTTAAAGGTGCAGATCCCAGCGTGTGGAATGTTTAAAGGTGCAGATCCCAGCGTGTGGAATGTTTAAAGGTGCAGATCTCAGCGTGTGGAATGTTTAAAGGTGCAGATCCCAGCGTGTGGAATGTTTAAAGGTGCAGATCCCAGCGTGTGGAATGTTTAAAGGTGCAGATCTCAGCGTATGGCTTGTTTGAATGCACATATTAATGTCTGGAGCTTGAGCAGCCAAGCCAATCAACTAGAGCTAGAGCAGCCAATCAGTTGCGATATGACCGGTGAGCAGATAGCCTTGAGACTGACAAGCTTCTGTTGGAAATCTTCTTTCGGGGCGTGGCGGTTTGATTCCAGCCAGATGAGGACCTTAGACACGACACACGGGTTGGAAAGGGAGCGGGGTGTTGAAAAGGGTAAACGTGATAGTGACTGTGGTGGTAGTTGTGCTGTAGTGATAGTGGTGTTAGTAGTTGTGGTGATAGTGGTTGCGTTAGTTGTGGTGATGGAGGTGGTAGCGGCAGTTGTGGCGGTATTGGTAGTAGTTGTGTTAGTCGTGTGGTGGTGATGGCGGTAGGGGGTAGTGGTGGCGTAGTGGTGCTAGTTGTGGTGGTGTTGGTTGTGGCGATGGTTGTGGTAGTGGCAGCGGTAGTTGTGATGGCGATAGTAGTCCTTGTGGTGGTACAGGTTGTGGCTGTGGTTGTTGTGATGGTGGTAGTGGTGGCGGTTATTGTGATAGTAGTGGTAGTAGTGGCGTTAGTAGTTATGGTGGTGGTGGTGGTGGAGGTAGTAGTAGTAGTAGTGGTAGTAATGGTAGTGGTGGTGGCGGTAGTAGTAGTAGTAGTAGTAGTAGTAGTAGTAGTAGTAGTAGTAGTAGTAGTAGTAGTAGTAGTAGTAGTAGTAGTAGTAGTAGTAGTAGTAGTAGTAGTAGTAGTAATGGTAGTAATGGTAGTGGTGGTGGTAATGGTGGTGCTGGAAAGAAGCCAAACAAAGCTCTAGAAAAATAAAGATAATAAGAAAGAAAGGGGAACAAGCAAAGGAAGAAGGAGACAAAAACAGTGAAGCGATAGCAGGAAGGCACATAGAAGAAAGGAAGGAGTGACAGAAAAAGAAAGAAATCAGTAAAGGAGGAAGGGACGTACAAAAGAAGGAAGGTCCGATATATTGGAGACAATGGTTTGGTGTAGGAATGGACGCAACAATGTCTGTCTGTCTGTCTGTCTGTCTGTCTGTCTGTCTGTCTGTCTGTCTGTCTGTCTGTCTGTCTGTCTGTCTGTCTGTCTGTCTGTCTATCTGTCTGTCTGTCTGTCTGTCTGTCTGTCTGTCTGTCTGTCTGTCTGTCTCTCTGCATATCTATCTGACTGTCTACATCATCATCAGGTGCCTTGTCGACTGACGTGGGCGATCATGCCTCTCCACAATCTGCGATCTCCTGCAGCATGTATCAGTGTGCTGACACACCCCCATGCCATGCAACAAGACTGTCAAGAATCTTGTCTCGTTGTGTACATATGTACCTATATATATATATATATATATATATATATATATATATATATATATATATATATATATATATATATATATATATATATATATATATATATATCATGCTGATATAATCAATGCCCTCAGAGAAATGGGAAGGATAGAGGACTTTGATGGCAGTGAATCCACATCACTCGCCAGAACGACAGACTTGGGAATTAAGATCGGCACAGCAAAAAACGAGACGCACACCAGACACGCCAGAAGACTTGTTAATCAACATAGAACTGGTACTATTAGCCATCGGACATTGGGGTTCATACTGAGGGGAGGATCTGAGCACCTATGGACATGTCCGGAGTGCAATGAGGATAACCCAACTAACTAACTAACTAACTAACTAACTAACTAACTAACTAACTAACTAACTAACTAACTAACTAACTAATATATATATATATGTCTATCCGTCTGTTTGGGTCAATCTGTCTGCTTATCGGTCTTGCTGTTTATCTACTCACTATGAAACCAAACACTGAACCAACCTTTTCGCATGCCTTCTTGGCCCTGGTTCTGTCCTCCACCCTGACCTGGTCGTCATGGATCTCTATAAACCGCTTGACATCAAAGATGTAAGTCTCCAGTTTATTCATCAGAAGCAATCGCTGGCGTTGTTTTTCCTCGACCATCTTGAACACGTCGATCTCTAAGATCATTCGGTGGATGTCATCTGCAGTGGGTCGGCCTGTGTCAGTCGGAAGACAGAGAATAGCAGACAATTAAAATCATCACACAAAACACAGACAAGAGCAGACAATTACAATCCTTAGACAGAACAAAGACAAGAGCAGTCAATTAAAATCATCACACAAAACACAGACAAGAGCAGACAATTACAATCCTCAGACAGAACACGGAGAAAAGCAGACAATTACAATCCTCAGACAAAACACAGACAAGAGCAGACAATTACAATCATCAGACAGAACACAAACAAAAGCAGACAATTACAATCATCAGACAGAACACAAACAAGAGCAGACAATTACAATCATCAGACAAAGCACAGACAAAAGCAGACAATTACAATCATCAGACAAAGCACAGACAAGAGCAGACAATTACAATCATCAGACAGAACACAGACAAGAGCAGACAATTACAATCAATGTCTATCTCATCTTCAATGGAGCAGGTAGTTGTAACAGTAATTTGGTAAAAAAAAATATCCTGTTCATCTCATGGGTTTCCTTTGTGGGTTCCGCTGCCATATTTTGAAATAAACAAATAGATCTACTGCTCCCTAACAAGCGTGTCGTACAAGGCAAGTGTAATTATGGGTTATCATCATCATGTTCCCTACCAACTGGCGTAGGCACTTATGCGTCTCCACAGATCACGATCCCTGGTTGACTGGAACAGCTCTCTTGATGATATCCCTCCATGCCATCGTTTGAGCCCATCCAGCATCATCTCTATTGGTCTGCCTCTACCCCTTTTCCCAGTGATCTTTTCAGCTGTCGCGATGTTCTCCAATGAGGCCACATTATGTGGCCACAGAACAGTGTTTGTCTCTTTCTCATTATTGTATATAAAAATCTACTTACATTAGCCTCTTTCAGGCAATCGTTGTTAGTTACTTTGGCCGTCCAAGGTATTCGTAAGATTCGTCTCATAAACCACATCTCTGTTGCTTCCAAAATCTTCTTAATTTGTTCAGTGACATTCCAAGATTCGCTGCCATACAGCAGAACAGGTTCTATGTAACATTTTAGTCGGCTTGGTAATTCCGGGGTGCCGGGTTCGATCGCAGCTGCTGGCCTTGCTGATGAATGATGATCATGATGACGAGGATGATAATGATTAAGAAGAAGAAGAAGAAGAAGAAGAAGAAGAAGAAGAAGAAGAAGAAGAAGAAGAAGAAGAAGAAGAAGAAGAAGAAGAAGAAGAAGAAGAAGAAGAAGAAGAAGAAGAAGAAAGAAAACAGAAGAAGAAGAAGAAGAAGAAGAAGAAGAAGAAGAAGAAGAAGAAGAAGAAGAAGAAGAAGAAGAAGAAAGAAGAAGAAGAAGAAGAAGAAGAAGAAGAAAAAGAAAAAAAGAAAAAGAAGAAGAAGAAGAAGAAGAAGGAAAGAAAGAAGAAAAGAAGAAGAAGAAGAAGAAGAAGAAGAAGAAGAAAGAAGAAGAAGAAGAAGAAGAAGAAGAAGAAAGAAGAAGAAGAAGAAGAAGAAGAAGAAGAAGAAGAAGAAGAAGAAGAAGAAGAAGAAGAAGGGAGGAAGGAAGGAAGGAAGAAGAAGAAGAACAAAAACAACAAAAACAACAAGTAGGAGTAGGAGGAGAAGTGGGGTTGGTGTCGGCGACGATGACAGAGCATTAAAAAAACGACACGAAGACCAACAACAACAATAACAACAACAAACATCAAAATCAGTGGAAGTTGTATAAGCAATTGAAGGGACACAATTCCTACCTTTATTTGTGAGCACTGTGAGATTCCCCTTGGCCGAGTTCTTGTCTTGGGCAGTAACGTAGAGAATTCCGTTGTAGTCCACTTGGAAGTTCACTGTGATTTGGGGGATTCCTTTAGGAGCTGGGTCAATTCCCGATAACTCGACCTGCCCTAAGAAGTTGTTGTCCTTGGCCCATGCCCTCTCCCCTTCAAACACCTGGGAAAGTATATTTGTTTTAAACAGTTTCCCATCTCTAGGATTTGAGGCTGTAGGAATGATACTTAAAGCAGTGGCTCCCAACCTTCCCAATGCCGAGACCCTTTCATACAGGTCGCTCATGTTGTGGCGAGCCCCAAACAATTATTTTGCTTCATACATTCAATAAATACTTTGTTTTCCGATGGTCTTAGGCAACCGCTGTTAAAGGGTAGTTGGACCCACACACACAAAACAAGGAATGCGACCGGCAGGTTGCGAACCGCTGGCTTAAAGGATGAAAATCAAAAGGTCCACATGAGGTCAAGAGAGAACAAGTCCGCAGAGACCCCAGGTGCACATGAGGTCAAGGGAGAACAAGTCCGCAGAGACCCCAGGTCCACATGAGGTCAAGGGAGAACAAGTCCGCAGAGACCCCAGGTACACATGAGGTCAAGGACGAACAAGTCCGCAGAGACCTCAGGTACACATGACGTCAAGGGAGAACAAGACCGCAGAGACACCAGGTACACATGAGGTCAAGGACGAACAAGTCTGCAGAGACCCCAGGTACACATGAGGTCAAGGGAGAACAAGTCCGCAGAGACCCCAGGTACACATGAGGTCAAGGGAGAACAAGTCCGCAGAGACCCCAGGTACACATGAGGTCAAGGGAGAACAAGTCCGCAGAGACCCCAGGTACACATGAGGTCAAGGGAGAACAAGTCCGCAGAGACCCCAGGTACACATGAGGTCAAGGGAGAACAAGTCCGCAGAGACCCCAGGTACACAGGAGGTCAAGGGAGAACAAGTCCGCAGAGACCCCAGGTACACATGAGGTCAAGGGAGAACAAATCCGCAGAGACCCCAGGTACACATGAGGTCAAGGACGAACAAGTCCGCAGAGACCTCAGGTACACATGAGGTCAAGGGAGAACAAGACCGCAGAGACACCAGGTACACATGAGGTCAAGGACGAACAAGTCTGCAGAGACCCAAGGTACACATGAGGTCAAGGGAAAACAAGTCCGCAGAGACGCCGGGTACACACGAGGTCAAGGGAGAACAAGTCCGCAGAGACCCCAGGTACACATGAGGTCAAGGGAGAACAAGACCGCAGAGACACTAGGTACACATGAGGTCAAGGGAGAACAAGTCCGCAGAGACCCCAGGTACACATGAGGTCGAGGGAGAACAAGTCTGCAGAGACGCCAGGTACACATGAGGTCAAGGGAGAACAAGTCCGCAGAGACCCCAGGTACACATGAGGTCAAGGGAGAACAAATCCGTAGAGACCCCAGGTACACATGAGGTCAAGGGAGAACAAATCCGCAGAGACCCCAGGTACACATGAGGTCAAGGACGAACAAGTCTTCAGAGACCCCAGGTACACATGAGGTCAAGGGAGAACAAGTCCGCAGAGACCCCAGGTACACATGAGGTCAAGGGAGAACAAGTCCGCAGACACCAGGTACACATGAGGTCAAGGGAGAACAAGTCCGCAGAGACACCAGGTACACATAAGGTCAAGGGAGAACAAGTCCGCAGAGACCTCAGGTACACATGAGGTCAAGGGAGAACAAGTCCGCAAAGACCTCAGGTACACATGAGCTCAAGGAAGAACAAGTCCGCAGAGACCCCAGGTACACATGAGGTCAAGGAGAACAAATCCGCAGAGACCCCAGGTACACATGAGATCAAGAGAGAATAAGTCCGCAGAGACCCCAGGTACACATGAGGTCAAGGGAGAACAAGTCCGCAGAGACCTCAGGTACACATGAGGTCAAGGGAGAACAAGTCCGCAGAGACCCCAGGTACACATGAGGTCAAGGGAGAACAAGTCCGCAGAGACCTCAGGTACACATGAGGTCAAGGGAGAACAAGTCCGCAGGTACCTCAGGTACACATGAGGTCAAGGCAGAACAAGTCCGCAGAGACCCCAGGTACACATGAGGTCAAGGGAGAACAAGTCTACAGAGACGCCAGGTACACATGAGGTCAAGGCAGAACAAGTCCGCAGGGACCCCAGGTACACATGAGGTCAAGGCAGAACAAGTCCGCAGAGACCTCAGGTACACATGAGGTCAAGGGAGAACAAGTCCGCAGAGACCCCAGGTACACATAAGGTCAAGGGAGAACAAGTCCGCAGAGACACCAGGTACACATGAGGTCAAGGGAGAACAAGTCCGCAGAGACCCCAGGTACACATGAGGTCACGGGAGAACAAGTCCGCAGAGACCCCAGGTACACATAAGGTCAAGGGAGAACAAGTCCGCAGAGACCCCAGGTACACATGAGGTCAAGGGAGAACAAGTCCGCAGAGACCCCAGGTACACATAAGGTCAAGGGAGAACAAGTCCGCAGAGACCCCAGGTACACATAAGGTCAAGGGAGAACAAGTCTACAGAGACGCCAGGTACACATGAGGTCAAGGCAGAACAAGTCCGCAGGGACCCCAGGTACACATGAGGTCAAGGCAGAACAAGTCCGCAGAGACCTCAGGTACACATGAGGTCAAGGGAGAACAAGTCCGCAGAGACCCCAGGTACACATAAGGTCAAGGGAGAACAAGTCCGCAGAGACACCAGGTACACATGAGGTCAAGGGAGAACAAGTCCGCAGAGACCCCAGGTACACATGAGGTCACGGGAGAACAAGTCCGCAGAGACCCCAGGTACACATAAGGTCAAGGGAGAACAAGTCCGCAGAGACCCCAGGTACACATGAGGTCAAGGGAGAACAAGTCCGCAGAGACCCCAGGTACACATAAGGTCAAGGGAGAACAAGTCCGCAGAGACCCCAGGTACACATAAGGTCAAGGGAGAACAAGTCCGCAAAGACACCAGGTACACATAAGGTCAAGGGAGAACAAGTCCGCAGAGACCCCAGGTACACATGAGGTCAAGGGAGAACAAGTCCGCAGAGACCCCAGGTACACATGAGGTCAAGGGAGAACAAGTCCGCAGAGACCCCAGGTACACATGAGGTCAAGGGAGAACAAGTCCGCAGAGACCCCAGGTACACATGAGGTCAAGGGAGAACAAGTCCGCAGAGACCTCAGGTACACATAAGGTCAAGGAAGAACAAGTCCGCAGACACCAGGTACACATGGGGTCTAGGGAGAACAAGTCCGCAGAGACCCCATGTACACATGGGGTGGAGGAAGAACAGGTCCGCAGACACCAGGTACACATGGGGTCTAGGGAGAACAAGTCCGCAGAGACCCCAGGTACACATGGGGTGGAGGAAGAACAGGTCCGCAAAGACCCCGATCTAAATTACATACAAAGGCAGCAAATCACAGGGTTTGCGCTTCAATGGAATTGGTTGTACTGCCATACCACGCAAGGCATACACGACAAGAGGAGAAAGATTTAGATTATGAGACAGCCCAAGAACGAGGTGGAAAGATAACATCAGAGACGCTCTTCAGTATCACATAGGACTGACACCAAACAGTAATATACAAAACAGGTCGTATACTAAACATGTTTTCCCCATAATAAATACAGGAAGAATGATTAATTCGTTCCCAGAAAGAAAAAACAAACGCCTGTTGTTGTAGGCAGATTATATTTTGATAGGGTTGTATAAAAAAAATTTGCATCTCTTTCCTAAGGAGGTTACCTTGGCGAAGTGGTCAAACCGTTTTCTTCGCGCTCTGAAGGTCGTGGATTCTTTTCATCGATGCGCCTTTTGGTACATGGCTGCAATTTTTATGGAGATCCATAGGGATCGTCACCGGAGCTACGGACTTCGTTCTCTGTGTGGCGCTCTCTGCAGGCGGCTAGCCGTTCTGTGGAGAGAGGCCGAGCTAAATGTGATAAAACCCAGTGCAATGAAGTCGAAGCTCCCTGGTTTAACATTTAATTTGTACACTGCCTAATACTCTTTCTTTCTCTCTCTCTCTCTCTCTCTCTCTCTCTCTCTCTCTCTCTCTCTCTCTCTCTCTCTCTCTCTCTCTCTGTCACACCCTCCACCCCACCCCACACACACATACACACACACAAGGAACTAGATACAAATAAATGACAATTTAACTTGACTTTGCCTCCCTGAGAAGAGCTGGGTGCCTACTAGGATGGGACTGGGAAGGGAATCTATCAGGTACACCGAGAACTTGGTGACAGTTGGCAAGTTTAATAGAATGAGGGCTGGAAGCCTAGAGATAAATACCTTGATGGCTTGGCCATATGCAGAGGGCCGGACAAGTGCAATGGCCTGATCTGTGATTCTGCTTATCGTGTAGGATGGCGAATCATGACCATGTGTGCCTATCATCATAGGACATAATAAAGACGATGATATTTCCATGAAGACAATGATATTTCCATGAATACGATGACATTTCAATAAAGACAATGATATTTCCACGAAGACGACGATATTTCCATGAAGACCATGATACCCCCATGAAGACGCGATTGATCCATTAAGACGATGACATTTCAATAAAGACAATGATATTTCCATGAAGACAATGATATTTCCATGATGACGATGATATTTCAATGAAGACGATAATATTTCCATGAAGACGACGATATTTCCACGAAGACGATGATATTCCAGGAAGACCATGATACTTCCATAAAAACGAGGATATTTCTATGAAGATCATATTTCCATGAAGACGATGATATTTCCCTGAAGACGATGACATTTCCATAAAGACGATGATATTCTAATGAAGACCATGATATTCCAGGAAGACCATGGTACTTCAATGAAGACGATGATATGTCTATGAAGATATTGATATTTCCATAAAGACGATGATATGTCTATGAAGATATTGATATTTCCATGAAGACGATGACATTTCCCTGAAGACAATGATACTTCCATGAAGACTATGAAATTTCAATGAAGACGAAGATATTTCCATGAAGACCATGATACTTCCATGAAGAGGATGATATTGCATGAAGACGATAATATATCCATAAAGACGGTGATATTTCCATGAAGACGATGATTTGTCAGGAAGACCCTGACACTTCTAAGAAGACGATGATATTTCTATGAAAACGATGATATTTTCATGAAGACGATGACATTTCCATGAAGACGATTATATTTCCATGAAGACGATGACATTTCTAAGAAGACAATGATATTTCCACGAGAACGATGATTTTTTCATAAAGATGATGATATTTCCATGAAGACCAGGATACCCGCCATGAAGACGATGATATATCAATGAAGGCAATGCCATTTCCATGAAGAAGGTGAAATTCAAGGAAGACCATGATACTTCTATAAGGAATATTATATTTCCATGCAGACGATAGTATGTCCATGAAGACTAAGACATTTCCATGAAGACGATGACATTTCCACGAAGACGATGACATTTCCATGAAGACGATATTTCCATGAAGACGATGATATTTCCATGAAGACGATGATTTATCCATGAAGACGATGACATTTCCATGAAGACGATATTTCCATGAAGACGATGATATTTCCATGAAGATGATATTTTCACTGAAATGGGTGTTGTCCCTCCCCTCCTATCCCACCCCAATTTTGGAGCCTTCAGCATAAAGCGTTTAACTAGACACACCTGTATGGTGACGGCGGTCTGGTTGTCCGTGCTAGTTGTGAAGTTGCTGCTGACTTTGATGGGCAGAGCGGTGCCGCGTCGGATGATCACGTTCATAGCCCCGTTTTCTGCCTCTGTGCCGATAGATAGGGCAGTGGCATCAATCACCAAGACATCCTGTCAGGGGACATAACACGTGTCAGTCACCAAAACATTCTGTCAGGGGACATAACACGTGTCAATCACCAAAACATTCTGTCAGGGGACATAAGATGTGTCAGTTACCAAAACATTATGTCAGGGAACATAACACGTGTCAATCACCAAAACATTCTGTTAGACATACCACGTATCAGTCACCAATACATCCGGTCAGAGGACATTCAAAAGTCTCAATCATCATGACATCCTGTTAGGGGACATAACACGTGGTAATGTCCAAAACATTCTGTCAGGGGACATAACAAGGGTTAATCACCGAATCATGATGTTAGGGAACATAGCACGCGTCAAACCTCGAACATCTGGTCAGGGGACATAACAAGTGTCGATCACCAAAACATCCAGTCAGGGGACATAAAAAGTGTCAATCACTAAAACATTATGTCAGGGGACATAACACGTGTCAGTTACCAAAACATTTTTGTCAGGGGACATAACACATGTCAGCCACCAAAACATTCTGTCAGGGGACATAACACGCGTCAATCCACAAAAATTTCGTCAGGGACAAAAAAACACATGTCAATCACCAAAACATTCTGACAGGGGGAAAAAACTAAAACAACGCTTAAGAAAAATTAAATAAAATGCTTACTTTAACAATGTTACTTTTATCCTCACATAAGATGGCTGCCTGCAGAACTGCGCCGTACGTCACCGCCTCGTCGGGGTTAACGGATTTGATCAGTTGTGTCCCGCTGAAAAAGTCTTGCAACAGTCTCTGAATTTTGGGAATTCGGGTGGACCCCCCGACTAGGACCACGTCGTGGATCTGGTGTCTGTCTAGCTTGGCGTCGCTCAGCGCAAGTTGTACAGGACCCAAGATTGACGAAAACAGATCACTGCAGAGTGCCTCAAACCTAGCGCGGGAAATTTTCGTACGGAAATCAATATTCCCAAACAGAGCCTCAATTTCCACAGAAGCTTCGGGGCTGGATGTCAGGGTCTTTTTGGCGCTTTCACAAGCCAGGAGAAGACGCTTAACGGCTTTAGGTTCCCACTCACGTCAGTCTTATACTTCCGCTTGCATTCATTCATCAAATAGTCCACCAGTCTGTAGTCAAAGTCCCTACCGCCCAAATGCGCGTTACCCGCCGTTGACTTGACCTCAAATATTGAACCCTTACTAATGGACAACACTGATACATCGAACGATCCGCCGCCCAGGTCCACAATGAGGACGTTTCTCTTCCCCGAGAGGTTTTGGCCCAGGCCGTAGGCTAGAGCTGCTGCTGTGGTGTCGTTGAGTACTTTCACCACACGTAACCCAGCAATCGATCCTGCATCTTTGGTGGCTTGTCTCTGTGAGTCGTTGAAGTGTGCCGGCACTGTTAGCACTGCCGATTCAAAATTGAAGAATAATCATAGAACGTCGCTGAATTACATCAACAATGGTTACATACAATGCGGCTTTAAATGAAAATCCTAATAATGCTACAGAAATTAACATTAAACGTGCTTTTGTCTTGTAACCTTTCAGTTTTACTGTTAAGCATGTCAAGAGAGCTTGAGAGCTCAGCAGTATCAGATCAGACAGTTACTGGTGCCAGCGGAATTAGAACTCTTCGCTTGCTGCTGAAGATGGGAACGGAGCGCTCATGGAAGTGTCACCAGTGTTATGCTGTCGATTCTTAATTCAGTATTTAAAAATATCTGGCGCATGACATCACGGTGCAAACAAACTCGGTGACGTCATAATAACAATTTAAAGATGGCCGCCCCACTTTTGGCGCGCACCAAATAGGGACAGCATTCTGTTATCCGTTTCTAAAGATCGCATTGAAGACTGTTGGCTTTTATCCTTATACATTGGAAGACTTAGTTTTAGTTGAGGTTTCAACTTCAGTGCAATCGGGTTTTCCCATACTTGCTCCGTTCCGGTGCCAGTAAAAATCAAATGAAATGTCCTTCACCGTCACATCAGGAAAACTGGCCAACAAACAATTAGTCCCGTGCGCAATCCAGAAATATTCGCATGCAGTAAATACATAAGGCAGTTGCAAGAGGCGCAAGGAGCTAACAGTCGCCACCTGAAATGCAGTTTGTCGTTGATGGAAGTATTCGGTCACAAAAAGTTGACTGTCATCATCATCATGTGCCTGGGTAACTGGCGTAGGCGTTCATGCGTCTCCACAGATCACGATCCCTGGTTGCCTGGAACAGCTCTCTTGGTGATATCCCTCCATGCCATCGTTTTAGCCCATCCAGCATTATCTCTCTTGGTCTGCCTCTACCTCTTTTTCCACTGATCTTTTCAGTTGTCACGATGTTCTCCAGTGTCTCTCTTCTCATTATGTGGCCAAAGAACAGTGTTTGTCTCTTTCTTATTGTTGTATATAGAGATATACTTTCATTAGCTTCTTTCAAGCAACGTTGTTAGTTACTCTAGCCGTCCAAGGTATTCGTTACATTGCGCTTCTCGGGTGGCATGGATGATGAATTCGCTCATATGTTTGCAGGTTTTAGCTACACTATTTATCCATTTCTTTCTTGGTCTTCCTCCTAGATGTTCTGCTGTAAAAATTTCATATGTAATTTGGTCTAGCTGAATTCTCATTAGATGGTCGAACTATTTAATTCTTTCTGTATCAAAATAATCAAGATCCTATTCCAACTTTCTCTCTAAAGCTGGTTGGTATTCGTTACCCTATCTCTTTTTATGTTGTCAGTGATGTTACGGAGACGGAGCATTGCACATCAGGACTGGCATTATCAGCCACAAATCTTCCTCTACCTAGAGGAAAAATGGTTTCGTCATCATCGCTTGTGATGGACGAACAACTAAAAAACAAAGTCAGAAACCAGGATCGGTGCTGGGTATATGGCGTTACATCCAACAGTTTCTGGATGGATCACGTGATCAATGTCAGGTCTGGCGCACTTTCGTTTCAGAACTTCATACCTCTTTTTTACTGTGTTGATCTCAGAGTAAAGTTAAACTATTTGTGTGTGTGTTTGTGTACGTGTTAGAGAGAGAGAAAGTTTCGTGAAAAAATTGTTTTATGAGTCCAGTGCAGAACGTCTTCTTGTCATCCTCTCTCTCTTTCTTCTTCTCTTCTTCTTCTTCTTCTTCTTCTTCTTCTTCTTCTTCTTCTTCTTCTTCTTCTGCTTCTTCTTCTTCTTCTTCTTCTTCTTCTTCTTCTTCTTCTTCTTCTTCTTCTTCTTCTTCTTCTGCTTCTTCTTCTTCTTTTTCTTCTTCTTCTTTTTCTTCTTCTTCTTCTTCTTCTTCTTCTTCTTCTTCTTCTTCTTCTTCTTCTTCTTCTTCTTCTTCTTCTTCTTCTTCTTCTTCTTCTTCTTCTTCTTCTTCTTCTTCTTCTTCTTCTTCTTCTTCTTCTTCTTCTTCTTCTTCTTCTTCGCATTCTTCTTCTTCTTCGCATTCTTCTTCTTCTTCGCATTCTTCTTCTTCTTCGCATTCTTCTTCTTCTTCGCATTCTTCTTAATCTCCTCCTACACCTCCTCCCCGCATTACTGTTATTAATACTATAACTGCAGAGTAAGCATAACAACAAATCATGTCACTATTTCTCGTGTGTTAATCATACAAAACTAACACCAGTGTGTACGATAAACGCGACTCTAGAAACACACAAACAACCACTGTGGTGCACCACACTAATGCAGCTTTCCCGACTATTCTGCTCACATTTTTAGTTTTAGAATCGGTGTCTTTGGCAGAGCTCCTTAGCTACTGTTTGTTTCGTAATCTTCAATGCATTTCTCAGCGCTTTTGGTTCCTTGGAGCACTGTTTGGGGATAAGCTACAGCAATAGCAATACAATAATCAGTCCAAATGCCGCTTAGCGATACCGAGTAGACGTCCCTGGGCAAGTCACTGTGTCATGGACTAGCCTAGCTTTGACACATACCCAGGTCATAGACCAGACCCTCTCAAATGCACACCTAAGTCATGTACCAGACCCAGTACGGACACATACCTGCGTCATGGACCACATGTCATGGGCCAGACCCACCCATGGACACCTACCTGCGTCATGGACCAGACCCACCCATAGACACCTACCTGCGTCATGGGCCAGACCCACCCATTGGCACCTACCTGCGCTATGGGCCAGACCCACCCATAGACACCTACCTGCGTCATGGGCCAAATCCACCCGGACACCTACCTGCGTCATGGGCCAAATAAACCCGGACACCTACCTGCGTCATGGGCCAGACCCACCCATTGGTACCTACCTGCGCTTGGGCCAGACCCACCCATAGACACCTACCTGCGTCATGGGCCAGATCCACCCATAGACACCTACCTGCGTCATGGGCCAGACCCACCCATTGGCACCTGCCTGCGCTATGGGCCAGGCCCACCCATAGACACCTACCTGCGTCATGGGCCAGACCCACCCATTGGCACCTGCCTGCGTCATGGGCCAGACCCACCCATAGACACCTACCTGCGTCATGGGCCAGACCCACCCATTGGCACCTGCCTGCGCTATGGGCCAGGCCCACCCATAGACACCTACCTGCGTCATGGGCCAGACCCACCCGGACACCTACCTGCGTCATGGGCCAGACCCACCCGGACACCTACCTGCGTCATGGGCCAGACCCACCCGGACACCTACCTGCGTCATGGGCCAGACCCACCCGGACACCTACCTGCGTCATGGGCCAGACCCACCCGGACACCTACCTGCGTCATGGGCCAGACTCACCCGGACACCTACCTGCGTCATGGGCCAGACCCACCCGGACACCTACCTGCGTCATGGACCAGGCTCCCGAAGTAGGTCTCGGCAACTACCTTCAACTTGCTGAGCACCATAGAACTGATCTCCTCCGGGGTAAACAACATTTCCTGTTCCTGGAACACGACTTTGATCATCGGCTTTCCTGCAAGTGATCGCCGTGTCCAAAGAGAATACAACAGCCGC